AGAGCGAGGCCGCCGAGACCCGGGGGGGATGGCGGCACAACAGTCAACCCCCGTGTGCGGCGATCCCCCTGCCCTAGATCGGCCAGCCTAGCACTGGGGAGCCCCTCCCTGTTTACAGGGGTGCTCTCAGGGCAATCGGGCAGTACTCCTCCTGCCACGCCTTGGGACCCCGCCCGCCCCCCCCCCCCCGGGGGGCGGGGGCCAGACAACTCCCCTCATTCCCAGCCTCCCCCCCTGGTCCCGAGGAGACACTATTTCTCTCGGCCACCAGAGCACCCCCACGCAGGGGAAGGGGCACTGTGGGTTTGCCGCGGCCGGTGCAGGCCGAAGCCCCGTCCCTCAACTGAGATGGGCCGAGTGTGCCCCAATCCGCACGCCATGTATACACCCCCCCGGCCTCAGGCATGTCAAAGGACGGGGAAGGGGTAGACCGGGCGCCCCCGCCGTTGGCCCCTGCCGCCGGTCGCAATGATGATACCTCGGAAACACAACCACCTCGGGGGCACACATGCGCACACGCATCCAGGGCATCCTTACCAGAGAGGAGTCCCCGGCGGAAGCTCCGCTCTTGGTGTGCGCCCCCACGCTTCGTCGGGGCTGGGGGCGGCCACCACCACCACCACCACCACCACCACCACCACCACCAAGGGCACCTGCCCCGGCGCCAACTGGGGCGAAAACAATCGACCGAGAATGTCAGAACGGGCAGGCTCGTATCGGAGACTCTCAGTGTGCACATCACACGCCCTCGTGATATGCACGGCATTTTGGAGGATATTTCCCCTAGCCAGCCGCCACCGCTGGGCCCGGCCCAAGTCGCCTAATGCCGCCGCGGGGCCTGCCTCGGGAAGCGCGCCGGGAGGGCTGGGGCCGGGGGTGGGCGACGCACGCACTTCGTCGGGGCGGGAGAGGGGGGGGGGGGCCACCACCGGGCATTCCCCCTCCTTCCTGGGCCTTCCCCCCCTCCTGTTCCCTCAAACCGGGGGGGGGGGGGAACAATCGAGCTGCTCCGGGATGAAAAAAAAACAGGCACAGACACGCAGGCGCACAGCCGGGAAACACCGAAGCGCAGTGCTGCCGGAGCGTGTGTACACCCGCGCGCGCCTCACAGGCGGCCCGGGGAGGGGCCATTCGCTGATCGAACTGGCCAGCATGCCAGGGAGAGACCCCTGGGACCGCGTGCTTCAGTGCGCCGGTCATTTTGCACCGTATTCCACACATGCACATGGCCCCCCCCCCCCCCCTCCCTCACATTGCATGCTGAACCTGTCCCCTGCGGGATATCGTGGGGCCATGGCTGTGCCGGCGCCCCGCTCCTGCCCACCTTCCCCCCGCCCCCTTTCGCCTCGGGATATACACGCTCCCTACGGTCGGGGCCGGACGTTCCCACCGATCCCACAGCCTCCGGTCCCGAGTGCGGGCTCCCGCCCCCTTCTGCACGCCGCTCTGCGCCCGGGGAGAGATGCGCGGGGTAGGGCGGGAGCGGGGGGGGGGGTCCTGCGTCGGATACAGCCCCGACATTCGGGGGGGGGGGAGGGCCTGGGGGAGGATCTCACCCGGTCCGCCGGCCTCGGGTCCAGAAAAGGCGCGCAGGGGCGCGCATGTTCCCGCGCTCGTGCGCGCCCCCAACGGCCCGTGCGCGTGCACATGGCCGGGCGCGCGCGCGCGCGCGCGCACGCCAGGCCTCCGCCCTCCCGCGCAGGGTCCCATGGAGAATGGGCGGGCCCGCGCGCGCGCTCGCCAGGCCGCTTGTCCGGCCCACCGCCGACACCCTTGCCGGCCGATCCCAGTGAAACGCCTTTTTTCAGCCACAACTGACACACCGCCCCCCGAGCCGCCTGGCCTGCCACTGGCTCCCCCCCACTCCTCCTCTCCCCGCTCTACCTCGTCTTTTGCCCCCTGCCTCCTGCTCCTTCCGCCTGCCTGGCAACCAAAGTCGGCTCGAGGAACCGCCGCCACGCCCGCGCCCGGCGTGTCCCTCTCTCTTTTTTTTTCTCCTCCTTCCTCTGCTTCTCCCCTCTTTAGGTGCCCGCGAGCGCGCGTTCATCCAACAACCACGCCCGATATACACGCGCACTGCCACACACGCACTGCCGCACACATATACACATATATCTAGAGACACATTCAACATGAGTGGCAACGGTGCGTCTGGCCCATTCCCACCCCTAGCGCACCCCCCTGGCTTTGGTCTTGACACCCATGCCCCCTCCTATCTTCCACCGGCTCCCCTGCCCTGCGTAGCCGCCATCCGCAAGGCACGAGCCCGCCAGGCCATGGCAAAAAAGCGCGCTACACAAAACCCACCGCCCATCCCGAAACCCAGGTATGTCGGCCCCTGCCCTCACACAGCCAACAACTGTCCAGTGCCAGCGGCGTCCTCCGCCGCCCTGCCCGGGTCTCCTCCCTCCTCGCCATCCTGCTCACATCCCTTGCACCCACCCCGCAGCAACACCCACCGGAACCCCTCCACCTCAAGCTCCTACTCGGACTACTCGGACTACTCGGATGACGACTCGCGGTCGAGATCCCGCGAGTCGTCACTTTCTCCCGGCCGCCGTGATGACAGCCCCCGGTCCAAGTCACCCACGCGCCATCACCACCACTCGTCCTCCGGCGCGGCGGACCACAACCAGCCCACCGCATCCGGGCCCCCGACGCGATCGCGCTCCCGGTCAAACCCCCGGCTGTCGCGCTCTCGGTCACGGTCTCGGTCTCGGTCTCGGTCTCGGTCCCCTTCCAGCACTTCGTACCGACGCTCGGTGACCCCCTCCTGTCCGTATGACCTGGGCACCGGCTACTCGGACAGCGATTCCTCGAGCTCCGACCGCGATGAGGACCCCCAGGACTACTGCAATGGTGGCTACCATCCGGTCCAAATTGGCGAGCTCTTCCACTCCTCGCGCTACAGCGTCATCGGCAAGCTCGGATGGGGGCACTTTTCCACCGTCTGGCTGGCCCTCGATGAACAGTGCGCACATCCCCCCCCCCCCCCGGC